GATTTAGGGGTGTACGTTCACTCTTCTTCAAATGTATTTTACCACACCACACCTACCACCAAAGCACTGAATATCTAACACCCTAATTCATAGGGGCCCTTTTTCCCTGTATAATTTTCTTCTACTCAGACTTCTAGAATTTGTTTTGATTTAGTTTTAGTTTCAATTTATACTCCACATAAGTGAAATTACACAAATTTATCTTTCTCCTGACTCATTTTACCATGTATAATCACAAGTTTTCAGCTAAGTTTTTTTCAAATGGCAAGATTTCATTTTTTGTTTTTTAATTGATAACTGAATGGTATTCCATTGTGCGTATATACTACACTTTTTTATATACTCAACTGCCATTGTGCCCTTATGTTGCTTCTTGACTATTGAAAATAGTATTACAATTGACATAGGAGTGCATATGCCCCTCCTTTCAAAGTAGTGTTTTTTGCATTTCAGTTTCATTCCTAGGGATGGAATTGTTGGATTATATGGTCAATTCAAATATTTTGAGAAACCTCCATACTGTTTTCTATAGGGATTAGATTAATCTATATTCCCACCAACAGCATATAAGGGTTCCTTTTTCTCCACAGGATGTGGAGGATCACTAACACTTTTTCTAGTCTTTTTGATATGGTCATTCTCACAGGTGAGATGGTATCGCATTACGGTTTTGATTTGCATAAAGTAGATATTTTTAAAAATAATACAATAGTTTATTTTTACATCATTTTGTGCTTTTTCCATCTCAGTTGTAATCCCCATGGGCTTCCCATCACCAAATCACCTGTGTGCCATCATCATAGTCAGGTGCATTTCCCTCCCCCCACTGTTTTTGATCCCATTCCCCCTTCCACCCCCGTAAAATGTCTCTGGAATATAGTTGGTCACTGTTATTATTATATTCTCCACTGGTCCTTTATGTTCCTGCTATGAATGAAACCAACCAGTATTTTCCCTTTTCTTTCTGGCTTATTTCACAAAGCATGAACTTTTCAAGCTCCATCCATGCTGCAAAAGGCATTTTTTTTTTGGTTGCTGAGTAATATTCCATTCTGTATATGTACCACATCTTTTTAATCCAGTCATCTACTTTTGGGCATTTGGGTTGTTTCCATGTCATAAAGCAGATATTTTTAATCATCAAAATACTATCATCAGCTCACCACAAATCCCATGGTGTTCGAAGCAGCCTAACTCCAAAGGAACATTTTCTAACATTAAATGAACTTTTCCCCTAGTTGACAAAGCTGAATCTTAAGTGAGTTCTGATTTTTATCTGATTTTTGTAGAGGAATGTTATGGTATTGCTTTAAAAGCTTTCATTTCCTGTGACTATCCTTCCCAATTTATAACCCTTACAAGATGCCAAAAACATGCAGCTAGAAGTGTTTTCTTCCTGCAGGGCATGTGTTGCTATTCTACAGCTTACCTCTACAAGACCTAACCATAAGCCACTGTACAGAGAGCTGAACATAGGATCTCTTCAACTGGTGACCAAGTATCTCCAATTCTGTTTCATAGTGGCTGAAATTGAAAATTTTTTAAACCTCAAAATTCACTCCATGATTATAGTAGAGTAAAAATTTTAATGATTTCTTAAATATACCTCCTACAAACAAAAGCATAAAAAAGACACTGGACTTTGTCAAAGTTAAAAATTTTATGCTGCAAAGAACACCACAAGAAAGTGAAGAGATACCTCACAAAATAGGAGAAAATATCTGACAAAGGATTTATATCTGGAGTCAATAATTACTACACCTCAATAATGAACAGATAACCACCCAACTAAAAATGGGCAAAAGCTTTGAATGACATTTCTCCAAAGACAGAATGGCACATGAAAAACAGTTTAACACCATTAATTATTAAGGTAATGCAAATCAAAACCACAAACAACATATAACAAGAAGGATGTGGAGAAATTGGAGCTTTCCAACACCTTTGGTAGGAATATAAAGTGTTACGATCACTTCAGAAAAACAGTCTGGCAGTTCTTTGAAGGGTTAAGATGCATTTACCCCAGTAATTTCACTTCCTAGATTCAATTTAGTTCTTACCCAAGAGAACGAAAAACACACATGTACACAAAATCTTACACAAATGCTCACAGCAGCATCATTCATCATAGCCAAAAAGCAGAAACAATCTAAATGTCCATCAACTCATGAATGGATAAACAAAATGTGAGGTGTCCATACAATAAAATATTATTCAGTAATGAAAAGTACAACATCTTGAAAACACTATGAGGGCCTCCCTGGTGGCGGGGGCTTAAATCTCAGAGCTCTCACCACTCCAGTTTGAGATCTCTGCCCAGGGAGTTAACCCACTTGCAGAGTTAATAGACCTCTCTGGTTTCCCTGCTGCTCCCCTTAGCTGTGTATTTCATACTTCAGTTAATCCCCCTGTTCTGCTACACACACACCATGCTAAGAAGCACCATGGTAATAAGCCAGTTACAAAGACCACATTGTATGACTGATTTACATAAAATGTCTAGAAAAAGCAAAAAGCAGACTAGTGGTATTCAGGACCCGGAAGAAGAAAAAGGAGTGATTGCTAATGAATACAGGGTTTCCTCTAAAGGTGTTGAAATCTTCTAAAATTGTGATGATAGTCACACAAACCATCAATACACTAACAATTATTGAACGTGTACAGATTGAATTAAATTTTATGGTGGTGTATTAACAGCTTTTAATAAAGCTGTTATTAAAAATGACATTATTCCATCGAGAGTACCATGGATTCAAGTCAGTGCCCAATCAAGAAGGTATGATCCAATGCAATTTTTTTTATTCTTTATTCTTGTGGAATTATTTGAGGTTATGTTGCTTTACATTTCTTAGTATCTTTCTAAAAAGAAGCAGTGTCATAAACTATCTGAAATCCTCAGTTTTACCCTTGTAACTTGTCTGCAAGTTAATAAATTATGGGATATTTATTTCCGTAAAATAAACTATGGAAGCACAAGCAAAACGTTAACTTTATCTCCCGAGATTCGCAATACTTTATAAATGTTAGGAATCTGATCCTTCAGCTCTGGACGACTTATATTGAAAGTGGGTCCCGATTATTTTGGATGAGTGATAATTGTTACTTAAGATTTTGATTTTAAGTGAAAAGCAGTCACTGGAGACCCAATAAACTTGTTAATTTCATCAAAGAATTGCTCATAATGGATGGATGTGCTTTTGTCGAGAATTGACCTTTTCAGGCTACTAACTTATATAACTGCGTTTTTATGGATACCTTAGATCTCTGGAAAATGGGACTCAACTGTTAGTGCCAGGATGTATGATTCAGCAGCAAACGTCCTCCAGGACCCTCTTCGTATTTTGAGGCAGGCACTGACCAACACAAGCGACAGGACCTGATCTGAGGCACAGTGTCCTCACAGGGGCGGAAAAGAAACCCTGGGGCAGATTCCAGTTTTTTCTGTCACGGCAGCCCCGCAGAAAGGGCGACTTTGACCTTGTTCAGAGCTTAAAGATCGCCCTCCCGGGCTGCGCACGTGGCGAGATGGGGACAGAGCCACGCGGGACCAACGTGAGACACTTTCTGCTGCGCGCCGTTTCCATTCCAGGAACGGGAAATGAATTCTCAGCTGGTCGCTGCACAATACCACGGATACAGATCCGCGGGGTCAGGAGCACAACCAAAGTCGAAGGAAATGAGAACTTTCATTCTCCCCCATTCTTCTACACTCCTCCCCCACCTTCATCCGTCCTCCGCCCGCCTCTTCCGCCACCGCCCGCCACGCTCCGGGGATCTTTTCCTGCCGTGTCCACCGGACTCAAAGACTGAGGCGCCGCGAGGAGCGACTCGATCCGGGTGCTTTTGGGCGGCATAAAGGCGTGGTTTTATGACGACACGGGAGGGCGGGGCGAGCGCGCAACTCTGGAGACGGAGCCCTCCTGAGGGAGGGGGCGGGACAGAGTGTGGGTCGGCCCTTTCCACGCCCCTCGGGAACTCCATGCCGGACCAGAGGGGTGTAGCTATTCTCAAACTCCGCTTTGATGAGGGTATTATCAACTAGAAAAGCTCAGATTCAAAGGCTCAACCTCCTACTAGCTTATCTATCCTCTGTCCTCGTCTCTTCTTAGTTCTTCCCTTGCCAGTCAGGAGATCCTTCCCGCCTCCTGGTCTTGCACCCCCTTCATTCCTGCAGAGATGGTAGCGGCCCAGGGGGCGCGCAGCCGCAGAGGTCCGGGGCGGTGCCGGAGAGGGGCGGGTGACGCAGCGGCCGTCGCTGCCATTTTAAGTTGTTTGTTCTCGCTTCTCTTCTCAAACGCGACTCTGTCCCGGACCCGGGAGGCGCCCGAGGCCGCCGCCGCTTCCGCAGCCACCGTGGGGGGGAAACGAGGCAGTGCCACCGCGGACGCTCACCACCAGCTCGGCTTCTCCCCCCTCCGGGTCTCCTCGACTTCCTTTCCTGCGAGCCGGAACCCGATCGTGCGGGGAAGAAAAGACTCACGAGCAGATGCTTGAACTGAAATAACTTTACTTGGGGGGTTTACTTCGCTGACAGACCCTTTAGCGCAGGGCTCCCCTCCCTCTTCTCCCCTCCCCCTCTGCCGCCACTTCCAGTCCTATCCCCCTTCCCCTCTTTCTCCTCGTTTTTCCTCCTCTTTCTCGCCGTCGTCGCTGTCACCGCGTCCTTCCCTCCGCCGCCGCCGCCCGGGGCGCCGAGCCAGACTATGGGTCCCAGGTGGGGGCTGAGCGGCGGCAGCAGCGCGGGCGGCCCGGTCACAGTGCGCACTGCAGCGGGGATGGAGGGGCTCAGTTGGCTGGTGGTTTTCTCTTGACATGGCTCCTGCCCGTGCCGCGAGCTCCGCCGCCGCCGCCGCCTCCTCTTCCGCCGCCGCCGCCGCCACCGCTCCGCCCGCAGGCTGCGGCTAGAGGGCCCGAACCCCGCCCGAGAGTCGGTCCGTGAGTCCCGGTCTCCGAGGGGCTCAGTTGGCTGGTGGTTTTCTCTTGACATGGCTCCTGCCCGTGCCGCGAGCGCCGCCGCCGCCGCCGCCTCCTCTTCCGCCGCCGCCGCCGCCACCGCTCCGCCCGCAGGCTGCGGCTAGAGGGCCCGAACCCCGCCCGAGAGTCGGTCCGTGAGTCCCGGTCTCCGCGGGGACAGGGAGGGGAGTCCCCCAGCACCCACTCCCCGCCCCAGCTGCCTCGATTCCACCCCTTGCCCCCTTCGGGAAACAAACTAACGACCCCACCCTAAACAGTCCAAATTCGGGAAACATGGTCTGTTCGACGTGAGAGCTAGCTTAATCCGGAACCCGGGAACTTTCATTTTTCTTTGGGGGGGTGGGGTGGGCATACTTTCAAAAGTAATATTAACACAACTATTTTCTTTTCTTCCCACTGACCCTTCCTATTTACCCTCTCCCGCCTACTCTATCCGGGCGGGAATTGTTTCCACGATGAAATGAGTGAAAACCTGAGTGATCCTGTATCTCCGGTGGTGCGAGTGAGTCGCTGCCGCTGAAGGCAAAGGGTGGGGGTGGGACCTGGGGGGTGGAAGGCAGGTGGTCCCCGGGCACTGCCTGGGATTTGGGAGAACCCGCCACCTTTGCCTCAGCAATGCTCACGAGAAGATAAATTGCACTCCGCACGATCTTGAACGGGGGCAAATTCGCAGGGAAGGTTCCCTTGGGGAATGTAGGACTCCTTGCAGGGCTGGGGCTGCTGAGATCCCGGGCATTAATCAGGTCTAACCCCACAGCCGGAGTAATTACCGTATTAGATATACCCCCTTTTCCCTTGGCCATCATGATTCTCCTTGGCAGCAGCGTTAGCAGCCGCCTGAGGGTGAAAATGTGGGTGATGGGGAAGTTGGTAATGACTCCGCTGTTTTTTCTCATGGCTCCTTTGGGCAAAAGCTGCCCGCCCCCGGTATACACTGTAGTTGATTGCAGGGAAACCCTGTACCTCTCCCCTTCCTTCTCTACCGATTTTGCACTTTTCTCTTTGCTCACCACCACGTGTAATCAATAACAAGCACTGACAATACATAGCAATAGTGAAATCTGAAATAACTAAGAATTAATTAGGTACTACAGCCATGGATCTGGCTGGGTAAAATCCAATTGAATATTTCAGTTTCATTCACCTACCCTGTTTTTTGGTGTATTTTTGTTTTTTTGGGAGGGGGGGGTTGGTGATTTTTTTCTTTTTGATATTTGGTAAACGAGGATCACACCTCCCCCACCCTCTTCCTTTTTATAATCCAGCCTCCAAAAAGAGGGGGGAAAATCCGGATGGATTTTGAGGATTGGACTGGTGTCAACTGTGTTTTATTGCACACCTAAATCCAGATAATAGGCTTTTCATTTTCCCCCGGAGTCTTATTTTGGAAGTTAAACCAAATGTGTTTTCCAAAAAGTTAGTTCAAGTATTTTCTCCTCTTTCTTTCCTTCTCTTCCTTTTCCCTATCCAACCCCAAAGTTATTGTCCAAACATGACTGGACAGCAGCTTTTGTTTCTTGACCCTGTAATATGACAGTCTGCTAATATTGCCAGAAGGTGCAGTTTTTGGGTTACAGTCGTGATTTTAGCTATTCAATCATATTAGCAGGAAAAAAATGACTTGTTTCTGTTGTACTTGAGTCTTAAGAAAAAGTGCCCATAGTTTAGTGACAATTTCCAAAGGCTTTAGTACCACCTGTATTTCAAAATGGGGGACCCAAACTCCCGGAAGAAACAAGCTCTGAACAGACTACGTGCTCAGCTTAGAAAGAAAAAAGAATCTCTAGCTGACCAGTTTGACTTCAAGATGTATATTGCCTTTGTATTCAAGGAGAAGGTAATTTAAAGTTCTTAATGTGAATTAGCACAAGCGATTTTTGTAAGTGTATTATTTGTTAAATAATTGAATATTAGGTTAAATAGTGGTTGAAAAAGCGTGCATTCAGTTCCTTGTGAATTCTCCATACCTAGCAGTTGTAGGATAACTGGAAAGCTTGAGTACTAATTGGTTTGGAAGTAGGCTTTTCCTTTAGTTGACATGGAGTGGTCAGGTTGTAGGATTTTTCATCTGTTTTACAATGAATTTCATTTATCCCAATAATGGGAGAACCATATTAAATTTAAAGATTATGTAAAGTATAAGTAGAATGTTTTAAAAGTGTTTAGTCAGAATCAAAATGTTTACATGCTAAAGTCTGTCTTTCATTTAATGGTGTGGGTACCTTTTACTTACAGTGTCTAGTAAACAACACTTATTTAACAAATCCTGTAATGCTTAATTTGTGTTCAGAAGAACCCAAAGAAGAAGTTTACATTTGTTGTTGGTCTTAATGAGAATTAATCCCACAGCTGAATACAGCAAATAAAAAGCTGTGAATAGTCAAGGAGAGGGATAACTTTTGTAATTTAAAATAATGGACAGTTCTTAATCTGAAATGAGATTAGATTTGATAGAAGGAAATACTGCTTTCATTTTTGCATGTAAATTGTGAGCTAATCTCACATGAAAGGTGTAATCTAGTGTGGCACTTAATTTTGAGAATTATCCATGTTTATTAGCCCACTCTTAAGAAAGCATTTAACTGCAGGAGTATAACATTATAAAGTGATTTCAAAAGTAGTTTTTGGGTAAATGATTGTTCTAAGATTGGCAGTACCAAGGCTTTACTGTTTTTGTTTGTTTTTCATTAATAAGTTTAGAATTGATTATTCTGACTTTGGTAGACAGTATTGCATAGGCTTGTGAGAAATATATTATTTCAAGATAAAAGTGAGACGACCTTTGTGATTAGTCTAAAAGGTGCCTCAGATTTTACTATTTAATTCTTAACGCCTGTGAAAACCTGTTTTTATTTTATGACGTGATGTTCATAGGATGTCCAGGCACTTGTCTTGTATAGTTAATGAATTTTAGAACCTAAATTGATGATGAGCATTTGGTCTTAAACAATTTGAAATTTCAGTTTGGTTGATAAATTTGTTTTCAAGTATTGACATAGTTACATAAAAATACCAGAAGGAATAACAGAAATTAGTCTTTTTAAGGAAGTACTTGTTATGGATACCATAATGGTATAAAGCTGTGCAGTTAATATTCTAATAATAGCCTATTTTTATGTGGCTTGGGGAAGAACACAAAGATTGATCTTATAGTTTGTGCTTTTAGTACAAAGATTATACATCAGTTGATACTATTGCTGAGTTAGAATTAAGTTACATGACCGTAATATGAATATGTAATATGAACTGAACCAGGTGTTAAAAAAAGACTTGATACCAGACACTGAAACACTGTTTTTTCCTTCTAGAAGAAAAAATCAGCACTTTTTGAAGTGTCTGAGGTTATACCAGTCATGACAAATAATTACGAAGAGAATATCCTGAAAGGTGTGCGAGATTCCAGCTATTCCTTGGAAAGTTCGTTAGAGCTTTTACAGAAGGATGTGGTACAGCTCCATGCTCCTCGATACCAGTCTATGAGAAGGGTGAGTTCTGTTTGTAAGTTCGTATTTTATGAGTAAATCTTGCATGACCCACCTTTACTTCCTTTGGGTAGTTAACTGTGGTCATGAATCTTAAAAAGTTGACTTCATATAAAACATACGGATCACTTTGTTGACTGTGGTGTGCGTTATTGCTGAAGATAATATTTTATAAAGTAGAAGGTGGTATTGCCACCAGCGTTTTCTAAACTTCTGTGGCTCATTGGAAGTTACTTGCCATACTGGAAGGAGACCCCTATAATTAAGAGGGGTAGGGAAAGGCTCTTGACAGTTGTGTACTAGAAGAGGGTGATTGGCTTTTGAGAATGAATATGCTGGTCTATGATCATAAGAGGAACAACAGGGGAAAAACAGTTTTCTTTTATTTAAACATTTACTTATGCATACAGAACTGAGGTACAGACCAGAGGTGCAGGGCATTGAGAGGATTCATCAGAGACAGCAGGGGGCAGAACAGGCAGATGGACAAAGTACACTGCTGAGGAAGGCAGTGGATGAGATAGGAGAGGTCTGCTGTGCCATGTGGATCGCCTCTGGGGCCAGGGATCGAACTCACACTGAAGCGGCTGTGGCCAGCTTGCAGTGCTGCCTCCCAACACATTGTGTCACCAGGAAGGACCGAAAAAAGTAGTTTTCTAAAAACATAAAACAAAAATAGCATCTCAGTAGTAGTAAGGTAGTGATTCATATTAGAAGTTTTGAGGCACCTTTGTATTGGTTCTGATTTTGAAGAGCGGAAATAAAAGTGCAAGGCTTACTTAAAAAAAAAATCAGAGCATTATTTGGAGTTTTCATGAACCATATACTGACGACAAATTTGGGTCTTGGTGGGAGGAACATTGGGCTGAGAACAATGTGGACTCAGCAAGATAAAAATTAGAAGTTGTCACGAGCTATTTACTTTGTGTACAGTCCTACATAAAAGGTGACGACCTTTTAAGATAGGAAGTGATGTAGTGGATGACAGTATGTAGCTTATGGCTAAGAGGACAGGCGAGGGTCAGGAAGCCTGATGGCTCCTGGCATGTGACAGCAGATTGTAACTGAAAAGTGGTTCCCAGAATGAGCAGAGCCTGCGGGGCAGGTCATCTGCTGGTGCTAGTAATCATTTATTGATGCTTCTGTATTCAACCGGTAGAAATATTGCTTATTAGAGCTTTGGCTCTTTGAAAATAATTTTATTTTTTTGTCACTTTCTAGGATGTAATTGGCTGTACTCAGGAGATGGATTTCATTCTTTGGCCTCGGAATGATATTGAAAAAATTGTCTGTCTCCTGTTTTCTAGGTGGAAGGAATCTGATGAACCTTTTAGGCCTGTTCAGGTATTCTAAAATAAGTTAAAAGCACTCCAAAAGTTGACAATAATAGGGTCTAATTTAAATTTTCTGGGATTGTGCTTTCTTACAAGATTTTTATTAATTCCTCCAGGCTTTAAATATTATGAGGCAAAGCAGAAAGCATTTGGATCATAGAATCTCTTGAGAATAGGGTGGTTCTAACTCTGGCCAGTGTGTCTATCAGGTTAAGAATAAATCTAGTAGAGGTTCTTAAATGACCTTTCTTGACATCCTGGCCAACTCTTGTCATTTGTTGTACTTGCCCCTTTCTAGTGTTAGGGCACTTAACCCCATGTGTTGGTGATCCTCCTAACTTATAGTAGTTATATGTCAAGTATAAAGTAAAACTAGGTTGATTTACTAACATGTTAGTTAAGGTTATTCTTGGTTAGGTATAACTTACTACTTTTTTACATATAGATGTATATTTCATAATTCTCTGCAACCATCATACTTATATAAAAATGACCTTTAAAAACTGAAGTGTATTAATAGGTTCATTTTAAGTTGTTTATGAATTATGAAAATTATCACTGCATTATCCATTACTGTGCAGTACGGTGCTGTTGTGTGTGATAAACAAGTTGGTGTCCTCACTGTGCCCTATCTTAATGTGACAGCTCAAGTAAGTGAGCATTCCTATTTCTAAGATACATTAGTCCCCAATAAGTTGTAAAGATATTCTGAAGTATCACTGTTGTATAAAGATATTCTAAAGTATCATTGTTGTTTTTTAATGGATATTACCTAAATCAGTGTACTGAAGAATATAAGTAAAATGAATGGCAGGAAGACAGGAGTGGAAATGGCATTTCTGTAGTGATCATTGTGGATCTAATACTGCAACTGTCAGGTTATTCTCCAGAAGCACCATTCAGGGGTCTTAAGAGTGGTAACCACTAGCCACCTAAGACTACAAAACATTTATAAAATGGTGGGTGTTACTGAAGGGATTGAATTTTAAATTGTACTGAGTTGATTTAAATTTAAGTAGCTATTATTGGTTATATTAGACAGTGCAATAGATACTGCAGTGGACGTTTGACATTTTGTAATTAATATAAATCTTTGTATTTCTTAATTAGGCCAAATTTGAGTTTCATCACGGTGACTATGAAAAACAGTTTCTGCATGTACTGAGCCGCAAGGATAAGACTGGAATTGTTGTCAACAATCCTAACCAGTCAGTGTTTCTCTTTATTGACAGACAGCACTTGCAGGTAAACATTTTTAAATTTTTGAAACCCACCAATTTTTTTTCTTTAAATATGGTTATTTTAAAAGTTTGTTTGCAAACTCTTTTCTATGTAATTAAGTTTTGTCTCTGCAACACTTTTTTTTTTTAAAAAAAGATTTATGTATGCATACAAAAACTGGGGTATAGGCCAGAGGTGCCAAGGGTAAGAGGATTCACCAGAGACAGAACAGTCACATTGATAAAGTACACTGCTAAGGGGAGCAGTGGGAAAGACTGGAGGGGTCTGCTTGCCATGTGGGTCAGCTCCCTGGCTGGGGATCATATTCAGGCTGCTCCTCGTGATAGCTTGATAGTGCTAAGATTTTAACCCCTATGCCAACAGGGAGGTCTTTCAAAGTTATTTTTTAAAAAGTAGAGACAGGTAATCCTGGGCTTCACCCCGAACAGTTATTCTTAAACTTTGTTACATATTAGAACTAAGTAGGATGCCTCAGTCATCTCTAGTTTGATCACTGCCTTAGAGCTTTTCTACATAAAGTATGAACAGTGAACCAAATTCACCTGAGAACATCTTAAATATGTGGAATCTTAGTCCTACTTAATCAGAGTGCATTTTGAACATAATTTGGGTGATTCATAACAATATGTTGAGCATTGACCTAGACCTTCTAAGTCAACACCTATAGAAAGGCATGAAGCACATCGGTATTTAAAAGATCCAGATGTTTTCAAATAAACACCTCCAATCTTTTTTTTTAAAGATTTATTTATTTGTACATACAGAACTGGGGTACAGGCCAGAGGCTCAGGGGTGGTGAGAGGCTTCACCAGAGACAGAGTGGGGAACAGAACAGGCAGATCGATGAAGTACACTGCTGAGGGGAGCAGTGGGCGGGTCAGGAGAGGTCTGCCACACCATGTGGTCTCCTCCGGGGTAGGCGGGAATTGAACTCATGCGGAAGTGGCTTTAGCTTTTCAGTGCAGTGCTTTAACCCGCTGTGCCACCAGGGAGGGCCAACACCTCCAATCTTAAGTAGCAGTTCGGGTATTCCAAATTTTTACTTTGTGAAACTTTCTTTTTCTCATCAACCCGAGTATCATCATATAGTATTTATAATCGTTTGTTATTATTAAAAGTAACCGCAGTCAGACTTATAATTTGTTCCAATAAATAATTTCTACTAAGTGTCAGGTACTGTATAGCACCAAAAAGCAGAAATATTCTTGCCCTCATGGATTCACATTCCATTGTGAATTACCATTTGTAAATAAAATAGTTAATAAATGCAGGGGAGGGGGCAGGATGTGATACTACAAATTACTGAAATGAATTCTAGATGGTATCACCAGAGAAGGTCTCACTGAGATGATCTAAGAAAAGATTGAATAGTAATGATAATTGCATTATAGACATGTTGCATTGTAGAACATGTTTATTTTTTGTGAGTCTTATGTCCAAGGTACTAACAAGTACAAATAAGACTCACTGCTACCTGTACAAACTGATAGATTGGGAAGATTTTACTTTCTATCTTCTAAGAAGTTAAGTGATTACGGTATGGGTACAAGTATAAAAGGACTTGGCATTATAGTAGAAAGTTCTTTTCACTGGTGCCATTTGAAAAGCCAGGTAATTTAGGGCTTCTTGTTTTTATTTTCCATTGTAACTTCGCCCTCCTGGTAAACTTTTTAAAATTGACGTTTCTTTTTTAATTACCTGTATAATGGACTTTAATATATTTATTGAGGAAATGCTATATAATGGTATTAATTTATATTTGAAGTCACAGATTTTTACTTTTACGAAAGTTGATTTATATACAAGTGTAGACTTAATTTTCATATGAATACTCTGAGATCAGTAATACTATACAGAAATGACTGATTTACTTTCTATCTTCTAAGAAGTGATTACGGTATGGGTACAAGTATAAAAGGACTTGGCATTATAGTAAAAAGTTCTTTTCACTGGTGCCATTTGAAAAGCCAGGTAATTTAGAGCTTCTTGTTTTTACTTTACATAGTAACAAAGAGGAGTTACTTTGCTAAATAAGTAATTCATATATGCAGTGTTGCCAGATAGTTTCTACGTTTAATGAAGTGAATACCTTAATTCTTTAAATGAGAAGAAAATGTTATGCTCCTAAGCTAAATTTGGGTTGTAGTTAAAGTGACCAGTGGTTTAGTTTCTTTGCATGTCCTGAGAATCCTGAAGTCCTGGGCAGTGTGGGATGGCTGGTCACCCTAGTTCTGTTCCTGGAGTCTGGATTTTAATACTAGATGCAGCCACTGTGCTGTCTCGAACAATTACTCTGAGTATGTTTTCTGTTAATGGAATAAATGATAGTCATAGGGGTGATATAAAAAGAAAAATGTGTGTGTACATAAGCTCATTTACATATGAGTTGCTCTAGGCATGGCAAAGGCGGTTTTTGTTTTTGTCTTTCATAGAGATGCTATTTTGAAGAGAAGGTGATGAATGGTGAAAGTTTGGGATCAGATTATTCCCATTATAAGCAAAGGTTATTTGTGAAAACATGAACCATGTTTGCCATAAGGTGTGAAAATAGTAACTACTTCTTGAAAAAAGTAGCTTGATTTGGTTATACTTTGACTTTTACATTTTTACTCTGCATGAATTCTTTAAGCATATTTAGTTTATCACCATGCCACTGTTTTCCTGTATTTTGTATGGAGGTTCTATCTTCTTAAATACAGACTAAGGTCCTTGTAGGTGAGGACCACAATTTGTTTACTTATTTTATGAGCTTTATTACTGTGTCCATAAGTGGGTTCAGTGTAAGATTAAATTATGGGAGATTGATTTCTTGTGGTAATGATCCATTACATTAAAGTCTTAATTTTTTTTCCCTTTTAGACTCCAAAAAACAAAGCTACAATCTTCAAGTTATGCAGCATCTGCCTTTACCTGCCGCAGGAACAGCTTACCCACTGGGCAGTTGGCACCATAGAGGATCACCTCCATCCTTACATGCCAGAATAGAGTACTGACCAGCAAAATGGACAAGATCAGAGTGCAGCAGCAGTGTTCTTATTGTTTTCTTACCACTTTCTTTCAGAGTTTAAAGAAAATGGACTCATGCACAGAACACTATGCATTTTGAAACTTACTCATCCTGGATTTTTTTTTTTTTTTTAATCATTTGTATCTCAGAACTTAAAAAAATCTGATGTCTTCTGCACGGACTGTGTGAAAGAAGATGCTTTGCATATTTGCTGCACTGCATCAGCATCTTAACTAAAAATGTGAAATGAAAGGACTGTTGTACACTGAAATGCTTAATGTATCTTAAAGCACAAGGTGACATTCGTTTTTGATGATCTTTCCATTTGTGCTGGTTTTTCCTCTGACATCTGTCATCAGTATTTAGAGGGTAAGAAATAAATGTAACAGGCATAAATAACATTTTAAAAACTTAATAGCTTTGCTATATCACCGTTGATCCAGAACACTGTCACATTCTAATGACCATATGTGGTTGTTAAAAAAAAAAAAGAATGAAAATACAACCACGGGAAAGAAATCTTAAATGAAAAAAGCATCTCATTGTGGGCATACTTGCCTCATTTTACTGGGCCATGTTTGTTTCCTGGTACTCACATGTATTTTATTTCCTAGATCTCTTTCCCCAAGTTGCTGTTATAAAAGTATTCTGCTGAGTGGACAGTTACCCACGTTAAGGCAGATCTGGAGTCTGAAGTAGCTAAAGCAGCTATAAAACTGAGAAATACATTCATAGCTGCAGAAACCATAATAGGTAGAGGACTTTCCTTTTTTGTTTTTGTTTTGCTTTGTTTTTTGGTTTTAAAGAGAAGAGATTTTTATTACAAAGAAATTCCAGTGAATTGTGTGGAAATACTGGTTTCTATACCATCCTAAAGAAAATCTTAGGGTTTTCTGGAATAGAAAAAAGTTATTACAAGTTGGGGATCTTAAATTGTAAAAACCACCGTTGAGTGTCAAAGGTCTAAAAGCAGAACTCATTTGTGCAATGAACATAAGGAAAGACTACTGTATAGTTTTTTTTTTTTTTCTTTTAAATGAAGAAAAGCTTTGCTTAAGGGTTGCATACTTTTATTCGAGTAAATCTGAATGATCCTACTCCTTTGGAGTAAACCTTAGTGCTTACCAGTTTCCAATTGTATTTAGCTTCTGGTTGGAATTTGAAAAAAATGAAAACCTAAATAAAATAGGTGAAAGTTCCCTGACTATTCAGGTGAATACACAAGACTTTGAAGCAGTCAATTTTTTTTTTACTACAGTGGGAAGGTACTACTGATGACTTAAGGGGTTACCTTATAGTCCATGGCACAGTAAATTAGATGGGGGAAAATGGCAGTCGGGTTTGTAATTTCAACAAAAGTAGGAATCAAGGGACATTTCACCTTGTTACAAAAAAAAATGTACGCTTAAAATGCTGTCATGTGTTTTCTGATCAGTGGGAAGTTATAGTCTATTTGAAATAAGTTTATTAGGTCAGGTATGGTTTAGATCTGGTCTTCCCTAATTCGTCTCACGTGTAGGGAGGACTTAAAATCCTGCTGGCTGGCTGGCTCCAGAGCCCAATTTCTTAACTTTATATATTGAATTATACTTGTTATGTTTTACATTTGTAATTTAGAATAAATTTGGAAAAGTAATGTAGAAAGCTTTACAACCTTTACCCACATTCAGTCTTGTAACATTTTATCAGTTTTTTTCTGTCTACATACATGCATATGTATTTTCTGAACCATTTTGAGAGTTTGGTGCATGTACTGCACCGACATCCTGATTTCTTACCTTTACACTTTGGCATATGTGCCGGTACAAAGATCTACATAACCACAGTAGCTCTCAAACTCAGGAAAGTTGACATGGGTATACTTAAACCTGTCACGCATACTTTTTTTTTTTTAACTGTCATCACTTTTTTTTTTTTTAAAAGATTTATTTATTCATACAGAACTAGGATACAGGCCAGAGATGCAGGGACAGAGGATTCACCAGAGACAGCCGGGAGCAGAACAGGTAGATTGACAAAGTACTCTGCTGAGGGGAGCACAGGGGTGTCAGAAGAGGTCTGCCACGCCATGTGGGTCACCTGGTGGTGGTGGTGGGGGGGGTTTCTAGCTCATGCTGAAGTGGCCTTAGCTTCTTAGTGCTGTGCTTCAATCTGCTGTGCCACCAGGGAGGGACCCATACTCATTTTAATTGTCTTAATGTCCTTGAATGGTGTCTTTACCCCCTTCTGTACAGCATCAATGCATTTAGTTGTATCTCTAATCTGAAACATTTCTTGAACCTTGACTGGCCTTGACATTTTCTATTTGATGATTCTTCATGGTTAGATTTGGGTTATGTATTCCTTGCCAGTGTTAGTGTCAGTAACCACATCCCCTCAGTATCACAAGCACTATGTCAGTTTGCTTGTGTTGGTAGTAACTTTGATTGGTTGTGGTATCCTGCTTCTGCATTGTGGTTACTATTTTCCCCCTTGCAATTAAGAAGCACTCTTTACGGGAACACAATCAGAACACATTGTTAGCAATCTTTACTTGTGACCATTATAAAAGATAATTTTTCATATTTATCCCTGTACATGTACCAGCCTTCTGTTAACAATGAAGAGCACTACTATCCCTGCCACTTGCCTAAGTGGCATAGACTCGGTTATTCCACTCTATAGCTGTACTCATTTTCTTGAGCACTTCCTTTCAGGCACATATTAAGTACATCTTGAAACTTCCCCATCTTAATCTACATCCCTGGAATCTGCTATTTCTCTAAGAAGCCTAGGCTTCTTTTAGTGGGAAACAATTAGGTTCAAGATCTGGGTCACCATTGTGTTCCCTGCCACTATGAAGTCTTGCTGCCCTTGAAGCAGATCACCCAACTCTTTCTACAAAGAAGGATCACCAACCATTAACTGTAGACTTTAAGTTGCTTTCTAAGGCTCCCCAACTCAGTAAGACATTTGAGAAGTGGACTAAATTTATGAACATGGATTTTTTTCACTACTGCAAACTGGAAGATTGAAAGTCTGCCAGTCTCGTTATTCCTTCAATTAGAAAAGGAGCCAAATAGTATGCTTTTCTTCTGCTCTTAATATAAAATATGCAGACTAATTTAGAGAAAAGCAGTACACCATTTATTTCCTGTTTCACTAAGCTGTTTCAGGTTACGTGATCCTATCATATTTTCCTAATATGGGCCCTAGGTCATCTTGTTTTTAAGGTCCATAGTCCTGTGTTAAAGAAAAAGCAATGGAAAAAATGGCTCATTAGAATCAAGAAAACCCTAAAAAATAATAAATATAAACCAAGAATTTATCATTCTTAATACTAAACTTTAATTTGTTCTGAAAACCGCTTGTTAAAATCAAATTTACACCCGATATGCACTGCTGGGTATCTTTCGATCACTCTGTTCTCTCAGCTTCAAAGGTGTTTTGTGTGTCTGCCTTGGGCTACTAATTTTCCTGTGGCCTTGTTGGTCAGATCCACAGAGGCAAATCCAAGTCTTTTTCCTTGCTTCAGAACTTGTGCTGTAATCACCACTACTTCTCCTATGTTAGCAGGTGACATGTACCTGGAAAAGAGGCAAATTTAAATACAGTTAAGAGCAGATTTCCTTAAAGGGAATGTGTATTTCTCATAAATACCTTACATTACTTATTTTTACTCCTAAAGAAAGGTTTTAGGAAGATCAGTAAGCTTTCGGTTCTATCAATTTTTTTAAACATTTATTTATTCATACACAAACTGGGGTGTAGGTCAGAAGTGAGGGGGAGATGGGAGGACATACCAGAGGCAGAGTGGGGAGCAGAACAGGCATATCTACTGAAATACACTGCTGAAGGGAGCTATAGGGGAGAAGAGTGGTCTGTGCCATGTGGGTCAGCTTCCTGGCCGGGGATCAAACTTGTGCTGCAGTGGTTGGCCATAGCTTGAGAGCATTGTCTTTAACCCCTGTGCCACCAGGCCCTGTTCTATCAAATTTAAATGATTGGTACTGAGCAAATTCTCCTTCACCTTTTCCCTCACTGTACAAGTTTCTCAAGAGCCATAAGAACTATAAGGAGTTAATATGAGGTTCTTAGACTCCTGGCAATGAGCTGCATGTACATTTTTTTTTTATTAATTAGCCATCTTTTTTTTTTTTAAATAATAGTTTATTTCTACATCATTTTGTCCCTTTTTCCATCTCAGTTGCAATCCCCATGGGCTTCCCATCACCAAATCACCCCACCTGTGTGCCATTACCATAGTCTAGTGCACTTCCCTCTCCCCACTGTTTTTGATCCCATTCTCCCCATTCCACCCCTGTAAAATGTCTCTGGTATATAGTTGTTCATTATTATTACTATTTTCTCACCTGGGCCTTTTGTATGTACATATTTTTTAAGGATACAGTTCCTATCCACCTGTAATCCAGCATGTTACTTTTGAAACACCTAGCAAATCTTTGAAACTGTCCAGTTTTTGTTCAAGTGAATGAATTTTTGAAGCTTAGACAGCCCTTGATGATGGCCATGCAGCACATACTTTGAAAGGTCAAAACTATGATTTACTAAAAATTCTTTGGCTTTTAAAACAGCAGTATCTTATGCAATGCTGGGTTTGAAGATGGCTCTTCTTTTAATAGATGCTCTTTCGGTAAAACGTCAATTGATCTTACACATAGAATAAGATAAGGCCTGCTGAATATGCTCACCAGTACTAGAAGCAAAACCTTTTTAATTTCACAAGTATTTGCATCTGCTTGCTGTTCCCTTGCTTTAAGTTATTCTCTAGTAAGAATGGGCCTGAATGTTTTCCTATTAGCTGACATTTCTTCCCTAACATTATCACATAATGTTGACTTTTATACTCTGGTCTTTGCCTGTCTCCCCAACAAAAATCATTTCTTCTCTTGCTTAGGTGAAAAGAACAGTCTTGAAATGAAATCCCTGGGTCCTTCCCTCAAATGAACAGGGCTAGCGATAGTACTAGTTAACTGGAACTTTATTCAGGTTTTCCTCTTGCATTCAGTACAACCCCCATAAAACATATGCACAAGTGGTATTTTTCAGGACCATGGGAAAGAGTAACTGAGTGTGATGATTTCCACCTCCAACCCCTCCCCACAATGTACAATTAGAAGCTCTCTTTAATGTTTGAATCATTCCCTCTTTACTACTGGTACATAGTGTACCAGTAGATTCAAACTGGCACCCAGAATGTACCTAGATTCTAAAGGCCATGGAGTACTTTAGGGCAAATCTATAGCTGCACATAAAGATGATCAGCAAATGGCACCCTATGCTTTATGTTAAAATATGTATAGTCTCCCTGGTTTGAAATGAGCTATTAAAAAGTTACTGGGGGTGCAATTTGGATACATACGTTATGTTCATATCCACACTAACTCCAGGTGCTCCCCTTTCTGTGCATAGCAGAGCCAGTGTTGATATGTTATCCACCAAGGTGGCTGTCAGGCCTCCATGGAGTGTGCCTAACTTATTGGCATGCTCCTCTTCTACTTTCAATTCACAAATCACTTTCCCAGGATCAGCAGAGACAACAGTCACCTAAGTGAAAAAACAAAAAGGAATTTTGGAGATTCTGTGGTATTAGAAAAGTTCAAATAGTCCAACAAAAACTATCATTGGATTAAGTAACTCATCCCAAGAAAGCTGAATCAGAAAGTCTCTTGATTCACCCATCTGTTTTTGGTAGAAATGAATCCTTACACAAATTTTTACTAAAGAAAAAGTAAATATTTGCAGAAAATTGTCATTTTTGTTAATCTCCACTCCTTTCTACTTGGGCTTTTCAACCTTAAGTACAGCAACCTGGAATGGCTCCTTAGAAATTGTGTGCCAACAGAATCAGTTAGTCCTGTGATTTGTTAACATATTATAGGTTTAATTTGAATGTTTTAGTTTTGGTGCAGAGTAATTTTTTAAATGCCTCATAATGAATGGCGTAAAATATTCTTTAAAAGACTGGGAGAAAGTAATTGAATGAATTACTAGACTAGGAAGCTTATAGCTTATATAAAACTCCAGAAGAGTTAAACTGCTGTTAAGGTCTTATCTCATTAATATTTATGAAAGAATTACACGAAAGATAAAATGTTGACTTTAGTGTTAAAAGAAGATAAAAAAGCAATAGAAAGGTGTTTCCTATACACAATTTAAGTGTGGGTCTGCTAATCCTAGGTGGCTTATCCAGCCTCCATTCTAAGAGCCCAACATTATGAGGCACTTTTCACATCAATTAAGAGCATAAAGCTGATCACCCTGGGAAGGGTATGCATCATGAGGTATGACCGGGAACGCCCTGGGGGCCATTGACTGACATATAAGGAAGGACCCCAGGAGCTGATCAGTGGAATGCCTTATTGATAAGACTGAAATCCTGACCGGAAGAGTCAGAGCTGTTCTACATACCAAACTATCAGCAGATGCACAGTTCCACCTTTTGCCTAGCTTCTTCTAATTCTCCCTTTCTTTTTCACTTCCTCACATGATTAATGCTGTATGATTAGTCTACCAACAAAAAGGTCAGGATCTTGCTCTTCGTCAGCATCCTGCATTATGTAGCCTGTGTCCACAACTCCCGTTTCTTTGTCATTGTGGCGTTGCCCGATGCAACATTTGAGTAATTCTTATAGCTTAATATTTAGAAGTTGGAGCTGAGCTCTGAATGGACTGTTTTGTAACTACTAGCACCAATTCTCACCATCATGGGAGGCGTTCAGGCAGAAAATGGATGAATGTTGGCTGTGTCTGCCACATCTGGGGTGTAGGAAAGTCTAAAGCCTTGAAGGATTGGTTACATTCTAGATAACTACCATTTATCTAGAATTTTCATATGTGTGGCATTTTCATAAGCCAGGCACTGTGTCAAACACTTTACTATATAAGAATGGGATAACTTCCATTTTTAGGTAACTTCAATTCATTTTGCATTCATTTCCAAGGTCACCTAGGACATGACAGAACTGGTTTTTAAATACAGATCTGTCTACTTTCAAGTCTCCCAAGTTGCTAATATAGACTTCTACTGGCAAGACATTTTGGATTTCCACAAACCACAACTGTTGTAGATGTGCTGTTGTTTATGCCCTGGAATGCCCTGAAAAGACACAAGCACACAAACACCCTAACAAGCATACAAACGACCCTAAGTACTATCCTATCATGCTTTGCTCAACAGGTTAATGAAAGGAAAAATAAAAGAACAAGATCAAATTTATTTATACAGTAAGTGATTTAGTTTCTAGAGATCCTGATAAACTAATCACAGGATCAAGGTGTAAACTCACCTCCTTCAGACAGGTGAGTATACCAAGCTTTGGAAACCTAAGATAGATGAGATCGAATCCCTGCTGCTCTTAAGGCATTGACTGTCTAAAGGGAGGGAATGTACTCTACCACACAAAGGGGATTACTGCAGATGGTAAGTGACTCGACCTTCCAGACTCAACAGTCCAAATGACCCAGCAGTCATTTGGGAGATGCTCTGGAAGACTTGGCAAGACATTTCTTTGTTGTTATCGTCCACTGGCTTAATTCTTTTATATTACTTTGGGAGACAAAGTTAGGCTACCTAATGTAAGAATATCCAACTTTAAAAGGTATGTTTTCAGGGAAGAGAAGTTGGGAAGGTTTCTAGAAAGGTGCCAAGGAAGCTAGGCAATTCAGGAAAAAGAATCAAAAATGTACATCTCATAGACAACAAATAGTTTTTAAGCACAGTTTAGCAGAGGTCAGTTGTTAGAGTTCCACTTGATTATCTAATTGTGGCTGGGGTAAAAAAAAGCTAAAACAAACATCAACTGAATTTTCTACTAGAGAATACAATTCTCAATTTTTCTTCTTCCCCAAGTTGAAAGGCCAAAGAACATACTAATGTACAAGAGTGAATAAAAACGGAATAGAATTTTGTAAAGTCTTGAATGGAGCGGAAATGTTTTAGTTGTTGTCAATTCTTATCTCCCAAAGTAATAAAAAGAATTAAGCCAATGGACGATAACAAGAACCAATAGCAGTGAAAAAGACGGTCCCTAGTAGGATGCTCTGTCCAGAACCCAGAATTCTCCTCCTCAGCCTTGATGTTTCGGGTCATTCTGGAGTTTTAAAACTCACCACCATCACGGTGATGGCTGCTGACTGCGTGCAGCTCTCCACCTGCCTGTGCTAACAGGTAAAGAAATGTCTGTCTCTGGTTCAGGTGCCTTACTGGAGAGGCCTACTGTGTGGCACATGATGTGAGAAAATGTATAAGAACCTGAGTCAACCAAGAAAGGAGATTGAGTACAAAAACATCAAAGCACAAAGAATGGACAATACCAGTGGATGAGAATTTGTTTCTTTGCGAAAGAGGCGGTTTCCAAATGATAAGCCCTGATGATGGACGTTGCTGATTTCACATTTGACTGAATGGCAGATGCCACGGTGTGTCTCAGAACAATGTACCTTCGTGTAAACAGGAAAGGAGGTGAAGAGTGAAAAGACAGGGGTGGAAATTATGTTAAGGGCCATGAAAGGGCTTCGGCTATAAAGGTACTGTGGTTCAACGCTGGTGCTGTATCCATCCATCAGGGAGAGTGATACAAGTCCAGACCAATTTTCAGAGAGTGGAACAGGAGCCTCTCTGGTGGTGAGGGGTTAAGACTCAGCACTATTAAGCTATCAGCAGCCACAGTAGCATGAGTTCGATCCGTAACTCGGTCTTACACCCCAGTCTTGTACGCATATATAAATAAAAATAAATCTTAAAAAAGACAGGGCCCTCCCTGGTGGTGCAATGAGTTGGGAGTGCTGCACTGCGAAGCTAAGCCAAGCTGTGGCCACTTCAGTGTGGAGTTTGATCCCTTCCCCGGAGGTGATCCAAAGGGGCAGCAGACCTCCCAGGTCTCCCCGCTGCTCCCCTCAGGAATGTACTTTGTCAATCTGCCGGTTCTGCTCCCCACTGTGTCTCTGGTGAATCCTCTAGCTGCCCCTGCATCTCTGGCCTGTTCCCATTTCTGTATTCATAAATAAATAAAGTTTTAAAAAGAAAATGATATAAAAGGTCTTCTCAGAACAAAAAGTCTACTACGAAAAACTGCCACTAACCCTGGAAACATGAATGGATCCTCTCATATCTTCACTACCTAGTCCATCAGCAAATGCTGTCAGCTCTGTCTTCAAACAAATCCAGAGTTGTAATCACTTCCTTGCCCTATCCACCTACTCAATCATCTCTCCAAATGTTGCAACTGACTCCCAACTTAACTCTACTGCCACCTCTGTCCACCTTACAGCTACGCTCACTTTTAGCAACAAGAATGCATCTTTTAAAGTACAAGTCAACTCATGTCACTCTTCTGTTTAAAATCCCTGAACGGGGCTTTATTTCACTCAAATAAAAGCCAAAAAGTCTAACAGGGATCTATTGAGCCATACACAGTGTATCATCTCCTTCAGCTTGCTAGCTTCCTGTTCTGTCACAATATCTCCTCAAGATTCTTCCCCAAATGCCCTAAGTTTCAGGGTAAGTCCCTTACCCTGTTCACTAGGACACACTTCCCCTCTGAGTCTTTTTACTGAAATGTCACTATTTCAGTGATACCTTCCCAGATGCCATTTTTTTAAACTAAACTTTCAAAAAGAACTCCACAGGAACACTTTTTTAAAAAGATTTATTTATTTATGCATACAAGAATTGGGTTTTTTGGTTGTCTTTTTGTTAAAGATTTATTTATGCATACAAGAGCTGGAGTGCAGGCCAGAGGTACAGGTGGGTGAGAGGTTTCAACAGAGATAGAGTAGGGAGCAGGACAGGCAGATCTACTGAAATACACTGCTGATGGGAGCAGTGGGTGAGACAGGAGAGGTCTCTGTGACATGTGGGTCAGCCCCCTGGCCGGGAATCAAGCTCTCGCCGCAGTGGTTGCAGACAGCTCTACAGTGCTGTGGCTTAACTGGCTATACTATGAGGGAGGCCCCAGGAACACATATTTTAAGGGGAAAATATTACATTTAACACACTGTATGTTTTACTACACTAAAATTCACTACACTACACTAAAATTTTAAGTTCTATGGATTTCTGTCAGTTTTGTTCACTGTTATATCCCCAGCTCTTAGGATGGTGCTGGTACATAACAGGCACTAAAATGTTTTGTGAGTGAGTAGATACATTCGACCTGAAGGTCAGCTAATGTTTTTTATAACAATATGCCCAACAGTTAGCACTGCAGCAACTGATAATCTATAGGGATAATCTTAACCAGCTCCTCTTTGGATGGTTTTGTACCAGGCACCTTCCAGTGGCACTAAAAAAATGTTCACTGGACATCTACTATGTACCTGTTCACAAAAAGCTCACAGTGTAGAGAGGCAAGACAGGAAAGTCAGCACATAGTTTCAAGAAGGTACAGAGAGTCCAAAAGCAAAAATTGGGCAAGGCTCAGGAGTGGATCAAAAGAAGGCAGTTGGAGATGCCAATAAAAACCTTTCAAGGACAGTGGGTACCACCTGAAAAGGACTTTGAGGGGTAAGAATAAAAATGGGGTTCAAGAGCAGAGCATGCTGTCCTAGTCCTCAGGCAGTATAACCATCAGGAAAGGTGATAAGGGCAAAAATAACAAAGCTAGTACATGAGTGACCAGAGGCAAAACAAAGACCTTGGGAAAAGCAAAAAGGATTTTAATTAAATAATCCTTTAAGACTTAACCAGCTGAAATAACATGCCACTCTTATTTATGGGGGTGCTGGTGGTGATGAGAGAAGTGCCAAAAAAGGAATATAAGCAATCACTGTGTTTTTCCCAAAGGATGGTAAAAGGCAGATTTCTTGAAACACTCTGGGATGCCTATCAAGGTAGGTATGACGGGCCTCTCTCCACATTTATGACACTGGAAAGATTTCGTTCACCTACAGGTTCTCTGTTGCCTTGTCCTGGAAACAGGGCGACAGGGAAGGAGCGTCCTCATCCCTATACTCATGATTTCATCTGTATTTATTCACATCTCCAGTTCTCCTTGCAGGGGAACAAGCATACACTTGTGTAAAACTTTTGCAAGGGATACATGGCTTGAAAAATAGCACCTGAAAATAAAATAAGTCCCAGAAAGAGATCGTAAGGAAAATTAGTTCAATCAGGCTATGTTTCACCTTCCAAGAAACAGACAACCTGTAATGTTCTGTTTTCTACCTTTTGGACAGTAGGAAACAACTGTAGTAAACAGTATATTTCATTGCAGAATAAATGTAAGTGCATTCATTTCCTTTGAAATTGGTCATCTAAAATAAGTAAATAAAAACAAAAAAAGAAATTGGTCACCCATTCGCCACTGTTAAAATCAACAATTTTCTAAAATACTTAGTGTTTGTTCTGGACTGATATAAAATCTCTTTCCCTTACAATACTAGAATTCTTGAGTTCATTAGTTCACTAAATATATCTCAACTCTTCAAATCCTATCTAAATTGCCATCTTACTTCCAGATATGAGATTGTTAATTACAAAAATGAAACAGTACAGACATGTAATTTCCAACCTACAACACCTTCAGGGTACTATACCATTCAATATCATTCTCTAGCCTTATCAAACATGTATGATATACACAGGTTTTTTTTTTTCTATTAGGTTTTATAAAATTACAAAAAATGGGGGCATATTATATTTATTATTTTGCAACTTTAATTTTTCTCCTCCCTCTATATCACAGCCATACTCTTGTATATAACAACCCTGCATTTAAAAATGAGCTTTTCTTGCCTTGAGAAGTCTCTGGCTTTATATATTTAACTTGAGAGGCAGCTATTTAACAAAACAATTTGTCAAAGTCCAGTAAGGTAATAAAACACAGTAGTTATTTTAATTGAGACTAGTGAATTATTAATTGGAAAGTTAGAGAAAAATGACATTCTGTTTCATGCCAAAAACACATGGAGGTCTTATAATTTGAACAACTCAACAGTTCAGTGCAAAGCATGGTTTCTATTTAGAAGAAAAGTGAGTTAGAATTTATTTAGTTTTGACGTAGGACAAAGGGAGTGAATAACAGGATGTCCTACATCAAGGCTTTTCAGCATTAACTCCTTTTAACTTTTGGCCTGAACAATTTTGTTGTGGATCCTGCAAGATATTTGACAGAAATCAAGTCTCTACACATTAGATGCCAGTAGCATCCTTACTGCTCCACTCCAGTTTGGATCAAAATCGTCTCCAGACACTGCTAACTAGTTCATAGAGAGCAAAATCACCCCCCAATTGGTCTAAGTAATATTATCTTAAAATTTACAGTAAAAGACCATGACTAGATTCATCAGTCACCATGCATAAACATATACTTTAGCCCAAGCAACTCTGCCCACAAAGAACATAACCACAAAACATAGTTCAGATAATATTAAGAGGATCCACTATGGTACTGAACTGTACATACCAGGCCACTAGCCACATATTAGAATTGAGCACTGGAAACATGATTTGAATTGAGGTGTACTGTAAATGTAAAATTCACACCTATTTCAAAAATTAAGTATGAAAAAATTAATGCTTTTTTGCATTGATTACATCTTAAAGCAGTATTTTGGATAAACTTTTTCTTAAAATGTGTCATTAAAATAAATTTCACCATGGCCCTCCCTGGTGGTGCAGCGGGTTAAAGCACAGCACTGAGAATCCAAAGCCGCTTCCGCATGAGTTCGATTCCC